TTGAGAATGATCCATAGTCAACATTTCCCATACTAAAATGAAATTTGATCGAATGTCATTGTTTGCATAGGCATAACATGGGAAATGTATGTCCTTTGAGGACAGCATAATTCCCCATCAGCGAAAAACCACTTCTTTGGGCGACAGTGGAAAATCACTATTGGTGCTGACCGTTCTTGAACTTACGGTTATAAATATAAATTGTGGCTAGGCCTCCACACAAAGTAGTGTTATCCCCCGCACACCAATAATTACATTCACCGTCTTCTGCCACTCCAAGTCGACTGTAGTTTGTACCAGCAACCCCACAGTGGCATTCTGTCGCAAACTCTAGCCCAGCGTAAGCAGAGTCAGTGTCACTCAATCCTTTGCAGTAATCAATGCACAGCTTGATTGTCATGTTATTAGATATTAATCGGCCATCTGGTAGCACCCGATCATTAGGGTCATCTTCGAAGCATCCGACATAGAGTTCATCTAAACGATTATCAAATAAGAGAATAAAACTTAGTTAGTCATTTTAAAGGGCCGATGATTAATTCTCTATGTTCCTCTTCTTTCTTTTTTTTAGTTGTCTAGTTTATGTTTGTTAAAAAAAGAAATCAGATCGTCTTTGAGCAGTATTGATGAGAAAATGTAAAAAATGCGTGGTCAATTATAGTCATTTAATGACAAGAATCCTATTTTCCTCAATCGCTCATTTCCTACAGAATAAAATCAAACCAACGGACTGTCTAAATAGGGGTTAGCATAATGGTGGATACTTTGGCTGAGGTAAACTTTTGTTAATAAAAATTTGAATTGTGCGTAAAACATGCACATATCCAAATTATAAACATGGAAAAGCAGTGATAAGCCAAAACAATAAACAGTAATAAGAGAAATGATGCAAAACCTTAAAGTCGAAAAGTGTTATGAAACATTAAATAAATGATGTATGCGAAGTTCACTTACCATGTGTTTCCACTGCCAATGATGCTTGCGCCAAAATGAAGATGACTGGGAGCGTGTAATAACAAACCAGTTTTAGATCCATTCTTTCAATTTTTCTATTAAAAATAATAATTCATAGAGGCAAATGAAAGCTTTAGACTGTCCCCTCCTTCAAGGTTTCACTGCTTCAGATATGGATGTGTTGGAAGAAGTTTCCAATTTGTCCGCAATTAAATGACAATATGTATAATCGCAGATATCATACATCATGTTTGAACTCTGAAAATGTGATATACTTCATTTCCCCGAAGATAAACAAGCCTTAAACTGTTGAACTCAAACTTATATCAGATAACGAAGTATTTGCCCTGCTGCCCTGGAAATGCAATTCATCTTTATCAAGTTTAATTTTGTTTGTAATTGAAACACTGTGTACCGTGAAAGAACTGTTCGCACATTAATCGAATGCGTTTATGTTAACTGTATGCATTTGCTTGTAATTATACAATTGAACTTCCTCAAAGCACGCTTTCCTTTCTCAAGCATAACGTGAATGACTTTACCCCCTTCACATACACGGATTTTTCTTACGAGTCCTTACGGATCGCACAAATTCACGGATCTTTCACGGATCTTTACGATTTGGCCACTTTTACGACCGGTTTAAGAGTTATAACGAGCTGTTTGCGGTTTATTACGGATCATTACGAGTTATTACGATGTATTTACGGCAACAGTCCACGATTCGGTTACGAGTTGTCACGGATAACTACGAACAACTAACGTGTTAGTTACGACCTGTTCACGTGTTGTTACGAATAGTTAAGAGTAAGCTACAAGTTATTACGAGTCCTTACGATTTTTAGCCAAAAAATAATAACTGAAAATGAAGTGTTCGAATTTGCAGCTTTTATACCTTTCCCAAAATCGTAAACAGTTCGTAAGCATACGTAAAGTATACGTATCTATTCGTAAAGTATTCGTAACTACACTTAAAATGCTCGTAATAACCCGTATCAATACGTAAAGCCATCGTAAAATGACCCGAATAAAATCGTAAACAACACGTAAGCACACGTAAACCATCCTTAAACTGTTCGCAATAATCCGTAAATAATTCATAAACAAATCGTAAACTAACCATAACGAATCGAGTTGTGACGAGTTATTTACGGATACCAACGATTTATTTACGGATGCTTGCGATTGACTACGAGTTGGCGATCCGTAAGGACTCGTAAGGAAAATCCGTGTATGTGAAGGGGGTATTAACGAGTGTATTTACTCTGTCTGCTTCTTCTGTGCGTGCGAAGAGCCAATTTCATAATGAATAGAATAATCATATGAAAAGAAACTTTGTATACAATCCGACTGTTATAATAGCCTAGATTATCACACTCTTTTGATCAGGCATGTTGGGTTTATAAAAGGTATTGTGTCCCACCAGGGCATGTTTCTGGTCCCATCTCCCCAAGCATACATATTAGTCATGGTGTTTAGGAAATTGAGTCAACAAAGAAATGTATGTATGTCAAATCGATTCTGATATCTTCCTGGACTGCGCTGACAAAGACGCACTTAGAATCAAAGTTGTGTTAAGGAATAAAAGAATGCCTCGCATTATTTCAAAATATCCTTTAAAGCAGGGCTCCCACTTAGCCGAGTTGGAGCCTCGAGTTGTGGCGAGCTGGCACGATCTTATGGCAAGCCGTTTTATCATTAAAACATATTTCTTGATATCAAGAAATAATTTTACGTTGTAAAGCTATGGTAATTCCTGATATCAAGAATTAAATTCATGATATCAAGAATTCGATTTCGTGATATCAAGAATTCGATTATTTGATATCAAGAATTTAATTATTGATATCAAGCAATATGTTTTAATGATAAAACTGCTTGCCATAAGATCGCGCCAGCTCACCACAACTCGAGGCTCCAACTCGGCTAAGTGGGAGCCCTGCTTAAGACGATATCGTATATGTGATATTATCCAGAGGATTAAGGGAGATGGTATCTTGAAACATGAGTAAAGAAGGAGGTGTCAAATTGAAAATACAGGGAAATCACATTTCACATATTGGTTTAAAAGTAGGCCATCGGCTGTGTGGATAAACCTCGGTACCAAGATCGTCACTTTGGTTGTGCCATGCAATTTTTAATTTATTTGCCATTTGTTCCATTTATTTACCATGATGGACTTATTTTTACTATGACACCGATCAAAAATAATCTATGTCACATCACACACCTTCCCCTCTTCTAACCATCCGAAATCTAAAGAATAAAATTATATACATCCATCATTAATGCATAGCTAATTCAACATCATATCACAATAACGAATGGGAATTCCCATAGCCACAAATCTTTGGCGTGCTTTACATTGATTTTTCAAAATATTTTCTCCATTCTCAGTGACTAGCCGATTTTTCTGGCACTATTTACTCACTGTGGATCTATTATTCTTGCTTAAGAACGTCAGCCTCTACAATGTATTGTTGTAGTATAGTCATTGTTGTACATGTAGTACAATCAGATGATGTGTTTGGCCTTTGTTGTGTTTAACCTGACCGAACAGCGATATAATAATGTTAGGCCTGTATCCAATGTGCATCATAGAAAATCACAAATGAGTCCATATGTAGATAGATAATACTGTAAATAAACGCAGGAAAAGAGAATTACCAGCACGAATTTATTGAATGCTTAATGTGTGCATCATAAACATAAAACTATGTACAAATGTTATCATTCTCCTTGTATACCAGTGTATAATTTAAATATTTTAAAGAAGATGTATTTACCATATATAAGATGCAGTATACATTTGCCTTGTAAATATAACACACTATTCCCGTTTAAGGTATACACTTCCATTTGTTTCTACTTGTATAGGAATCCAGTTAATACCATGCTCACATTGAAGAAAGAGAATACATGTATGATGCTGTTGAAAAAAATAGTATCATCATTTTATTATATAAATATTGATACAAATATGATAGTTCATGTGATAGATAGGAACCAGTATAAGGTCTTCCTTCATGCTGTAGGACTATGAAATATACATTTATAGCACTGTCCTTTAATATGTTAAAAATACATAGTTGTGATAATCATTTGGTAGGCCTACATACTAAAAGATAATGTCATCACAAGCTAATCATTTTTAAAGCTTTGCATTTTAAGAGGGAACCATTGTTTGAATATAGTGTATAAACGTATGTTATTATTAAATCAAAGTTTAACAAAATCTATATGTATGGTAGCATGAATACATTTACCCACGTGAAAACGTCTCTATTTCATTAATACTTACCTACATATTATTCTGTATACATGTTTACTCATCCCAATTGCCCAGGCACAGATTCTAAGAGAACTGTTTGTTCATCATATTTTATTTTTGTTCACAAACTTACGAAAGTATATCATTTTTCTGCGCCGTTAGACAGGATTCGGTGGAAGTTCGATTACAACATGCTATCATGCTTACAATGATCAAGTGTTATTCTACCTAATTACTATGCAATACGAGACATTATTGTGGTAGGACCATACACGCATTTTCTTTCATTTGTTTTTTATAATGTATGTATTTTGGTCTGTTTTCTAGATATGTCTTTTACGAAAAGGTTGTTCTTCAAAAACATGAAATTTCACGTTTACAGTCATCAGTGAATGGTGCAGCATTTTATCACGCGTCTTGTGTATAATCTAACTGTTTTAACCTTCTTTCTAGATATACTTCTTTCTTCAGTCTTCGAAAGGGCTGTCCTTAAAAGCATGATTTAACTTGTATTTACATCTCACACCATTCTATCATGTGTAAAGTCTCATTTTCAGTAATACATATATGTTTCATTTTTTATACGTATTTACACATCCATATTGCCCTTGCACAGACTATAAGGAAACACTACATTTAGATTTTGTTCGTTAACAAATTTAAGAAAACAAATGCAATTTTTCGCCCTTACTCAGGATGCAGTGTAAGTTTAGTTAAAACATGCAACGTCCTTGCAATAATAAAATATAAATCTACCTCACTGTACAATAGAAGATATAATAGGAGGATTAAACGAGAACTTACAGTTTGAAGTTTGATCCTTATTTTATGAGTATTAGGAGGTTAGAGAATACATGAGAGCCCGCCCGCAACGCTACAATCAATCTTCAAAGCAACTGTGACTACTGATGAACAAATAAAATAAATAAAATAGGACTGATGAGAACATACTAATGATCCTGAGCAAGGGAGGGAGAGGTAGGGCATGTATTCTCTAACCTCCTAATACTCATAAAATAAGGATCAAACTTCAAACTGTAAGTTCTCGTTTAATCCTCCTATTTTATTTCATATTTCTCGGTAACGAGAATACATGAGACTTCAAAGCTCAGTAGTCACATATGCGACAATAATTTGTCAACAAATATCAGGAATAGCTAACCTGGTCCTGGTAGAAATCAGAATCAGTGATGTAGGACTGCTTGAGTGAAAGTAGAATGTCCCGTATTCACTGGTTTGTTGTAGTATTTTTCAAAAGTTTTCTCATTGGCCCAACCGGCATGCTTGAGAATCACATCCATTGGGATGTGCATCTTCTTGGCTATTGAAGTAGATGCTGCCCTTGTAGAGTGAGACTTGTACTGGTCCGTATCGATGCCAGAAATTTTCATCACAACTCTGATCCATCTCGAAATTGTTTGCGAGGATGCTCTTTTGTGTGGCTTCCGAAACGAGATGAACAGGTGTCTCTCTGACTTCCTTATTTCTTTTGTCAGTTTTATATATTGTTCGATGCAATGTACGGCACAAAGCCGTTCATCCTCTGGGAATGCTGATATCTTCACCATTATACCAACATTTCCTGGTTTACTCTGCTTAAGCAGGCTATCAACGTGGAATTCCACCGAGTCTGTCTTCAAACACATCTTGTCCAAATTAAGGTTCCAAAGAGTTTGTACTCTTTGTGCTGAAGTAAGCGCAAGTAACATGCTCAATTTTTGAGTCAATTTACACAAAGGAAGCTTATCATTAGCTGGTTGAAGACGAAGGTAATCCAATACAATACTGACGTCCCAAACCTGAGCATAGCGTGGGGTTGGAGTTCTTAGCTGGAAAACACCTTTCATGTACTTGCTTATGATAGGATGTGAACCAATCGTATAGTTGCTATCATCCAAACTCATGACTGATGCCAGGGCACTCCTTGCTGTATTGATAGCACTATAGCTAGCATTATGTCTGTAAAAAAGGTCACTGAAAAACTCTAAAATATCCTTAGCTTTAGCCTGCATCCATGGAAGTTTGTGCTGTTCGCAGAAAATTTTCCACTTGGAGATGTAAATGTTGTATTGTTTCTTTGTTGATTCTCTCCATGATGCACCAATAATGTCTGTAGTTCTCTCTGTTAATCCATGTAGGTCACAGTGTGCACGCCAAGCCTGCAACAAAGGAGATCAAGATTAGTGAGAGGGTGAGGACTGCCAGACACTGGCTGAGTGAGAAGTGAAATGTTCCATGGCAAAAGCATGGGCTCTTCAAGCAACATTTCTTCAAGAATGGGGAACCAGGCTTGTGTAGGCCAGTTTGGTACCACCAATAAGCCTCGTGCATTGTCTACTTTAATCTTCTGTAGGCACCTTGGAATTATGTTGAAAGGTGGGAAGGCATAAAAATTGAGAGTACCCCAGTCTACGGTGAATGCATCCACTGCCCAAGCATTAGGGTCTGGCATCCACAAAATATACTTTGGTAGCTGAGCGTTGAGTCTAGTTGCAAACAAATCTACCTCTGGCAGACCATATCTACCCACTATTGACTTGAACATAGCCCTATCGAGCATCCATTCAATGTTGTCATTAAATTTCCTAGACATGCGGTCTGCTTCGACGTTTAGAGTACCTGGGAGATGAGCAGCCGTTAACCAAATATTTCTATCCTTACACCACTCCCAAATTTGACTGGCAATTTCATTGCAGGAGTGTGATCTAATACCTCCCATATTATTGAGGTACGCAGTAGCTGTCATATTATCAAGCCTAATCAGAACATGTGTATTTCTCATGTTACAACAGTAAGCTTTCAACCCGAGGCCTGCTGCAAGGGTCTCAAGATAATTTATTTCATTATTGTGAGCCCTAGCTAATTCTTGGCTGTTCCATCTGCCCCCTGTTTGTGATTTTAGATCTGTAGCACCCCAGCCTTTTCCACTGGCATCGGTGCGCAATTCCATCATGAATTTCCCATGATGCATAGGGCACTTAACTGAAGTAACATTTGAAACCCACCAGTTTATTTCATCTTTAGATTTAGGTGAAAGTACCATGGGCCTGTCAAAGTGCCCTTTATTGCACCTTAATGCTGCTATTTTCTTTTTCTCTAGTGCCCTGTAATGCAGTGGCCCATACTGAGAAGCTGGAAATGTTGCTACTATTTTCCCAATTATCTTCGCAACTTCCCTTATGGAGGGGGCTTTCTTCTCTAGCAACCCAATGCATGCCTCTCTTACGTCTTTGCCTTTGTTAACAGGCAGTGTAATTTCCATTCTAATTGTATTAAGTCTAAATCCAAGAAATTCAATTTCTTGAGTCGGTTCAAGCACCGACTTTATTGGATGAATTATGAATCCCAGTCTACTCAGTAACATTGTAGTAGCTGTCACGGATTCTAGTGTTCTAGACTTGGTTTTACCAATAATTATAGTGTCATCCAAATATCCAACAACTTTGTGTTTGGATTGTCTAAGACAGGCAAACACAGGTTTGAGAAGCTTAGTAAATAGCCTGGGGGCAGAGCTAAGCCCATTTGGCAGGGTTTTAAATTGCCATAATTGTCCCTGCCACACAAAGCGAAGGTACTTTCTAGATTCTGTATGAATGGGTACCGTGTAGTATGCATCGCGAAGGTCGACTGAAGCCATGAAGTCTCCCTCAGACAAGAGGGAGACAGCAGTGAAAATGTTGTCCATTTTGAAATGGTAATAAGTAATGTATTTATTAAGTTTGGACAAATCCAGAATTAGTCTAACTCCTCCATTCTTTTTTGGTCTTGTGAAAATGTGTGAAATGAATTCACCATTGACGTGTGAGCAACGCTCAATGACGTTTTTATTTTCTAGAGTATTCAACTCCTCATGGATCTTAGCCATCTCCATAGCATTTCGCTTGTAAGTGTGGAGGGGCTTGTCTTGTATGGGGGGGAATTTGTCTGGATCAAATTCCAGTTTGTAGCCTTGAATAGCTTGAAGTAAGAATGGATCTGAAGTAATTTTGCACCAATTTTCATAAAATGGCTTCAGTCGACCTCCGACCATATCAGACACGGCTTCATTACAAACACTAACCTCTTGAGTGCTTGAGCCTGAAGGGGAATTTCCCTCGACTACTTCTTGCGATGGTACGATTGTTTGCCCCTGTTGGCTGCTGTTGGGGTGTAGGTGTGTGATGCCTGTTGTTTTGAATTCCCTTTCTTGAAGTTGGAATTCTGGCGCTGCCCTAAAAAAGGGCGCTCTGAGTTCCCATACATACGGGATGACGAATTGCCTTGATCTCGATTGGGGAACCAGCCAGCTCGTTTCATGGTGTGCTTGGCATAGTCTGTAACCTTGCGATAAGGATGATATGAGCGTTGATGCCTGTCTTGAGGCTGGTTTCTCGTGTTCATAACACCTGCCGTGGCTTTTTGCTGTTCTTGCAGTTCTTTAACCTGGCGCCCCAGATCCTCGCCAAACAAGTGTTTGGTAACTGGGTAAGTTGGCCGGCACAGATGATGAAAAAGAGGGTTGAGATCCGGTTTGATCAAATTCTTCCTCATGGAATTTATGCCGTAATTGGCATTACATAGCAGCGCCAATGCATCATGCTGCTCCTCGGTCATCGTAGCCGGGTTCAGAGATCGTGCAAAAGCACACAAGCCTTTGGTTAATGACTTCTGGATGTACTGAATTTTCAGATCTTTATTTCTAGTTGCTGAACGCAAGTTTTCCCAAATAATTGTGTTCACTCTTGGAGTGTCAAGCAATTCACAGTTTTCGGGGGAAAGATATTTCTCAGCCGCCTCATCCAGAGATTTTTCTTCCAGTTTGTTGCTCATCAAATAAGTCATATATTGAGCTATGTCGTCATGTAAGGGGGCACCAATCCCCGAGGGCATGGCAAATTTTGCGGCGATCATGGGAATTGAATCTTGTCCCTTGCCGGCAGTAGTACGCACACTACCAACAGCTCTGCTCATGCTTCCGACATCGTCGGTATCATAAAGAAGTTCGCTACCTGGCGATTCACTTCCATCATAAAAAATCATCGGCCAAAAGGCCTTCCCCCGAGGTCAATCTTCCTACCGAGAGGGGCTCCGTGTTTTTATCAACCGGAGAGGAGAATGTCTGTGGGGCCAGAGCCGGCTGTGCCGGGGCAGGGATTCTCTCCATTTACACAGAAAGCATGTCTTCCAGCTTATCAATGCGTGAATCCACAGACTTCGATTTTGAGTCCGAGCGCGGCTTAGCCTTGCTCGTGTTGTCAACCTCGCGGTTCGGCTTAGCCTTAACAACATATTTATTGTCAGAGGATTTGACTTTCGTCTTAGACGATTTAGTATTTTCTTGCTCGCTCGGCTTTGCCTTGCTACTAATTTTGCATTTGGGAGTACCCACAGCGATGCCCGAGCTCGGCTTTGCCTTACTCGTCGGGGGAGAAGCACCGGGTAAGGTAGGCATTATGGTCCCGGCTGCCTGCGGGTTAGTACCCGTCCCCGTGATTGCAGGTTCCGATGGTGACTTGCTCGTGCCCGGCAGGCACCGAGCAGAAGATGGGATTTCAAAATTGTTTTTAGAGTCCCAAGATTTGTCCATTTTAGAACAAAACCCGTTTCAAAAGTGTCAGAAACTTTTCTACGAGTGGATTTCGGCAAAAAACTCTGCCGGAAACGAAGGATTGCAAAAATATAAACAGATTTTTGCAGCTCAAAGATTTCGTATGTCATACGATGTAAGCGCGACGAACGTATTGATTGTAGCGTTGCGGGCGGGCTCTCATGTATTCTCGTTACCGAGAAATATGAAATAAAATAGTACATATACACATATTCCTTTTAGTTAAAGGCTATGATGTGAATAGTTTTATTTGCTTTTGTAGATATATCCTGTACGAAAGGGTTGTCCTTTATGTGCTATCTCATATTGACATTCGTATCCTTGATACTATTTCATCCGTGCATGATGCAGGTTTTAATAAGGTAAAAGGTCTATTTTTCAATACAACTAATATATTTCAGTATACATATTCACACATCTCCTTCGCCCTTGCACCTTTTATACGAAAACATCAAACTCGAATAATTTCCCTTAGCTAAATTTACAAAGCCAATCATTTTCGGTTTAACTTAATAACATTTGGAGTGGACTTTAAACGATTATTATTATTAAATTCCAACGGTCGACAGGATGCGATGCATGTTTTATTAGGTCATGCAATCATCCTAACTATGAAAAAATACAATACAATCTCCATCTGTTATACAAGTTATAGGCATTATAATCGTGTAATACAAGTTCAGAGATGTTTTATTTTGTAAAGTAAAATATATATCAATGAAAAGTAGCACTATTCACTATAATTGAACAAAATTGTATACATTTTGATTTCTATTCATTCATAGAGACATCACTTTGAAAAACCCATACATGTAATACTTAAATAAGCAATTTTTTACTAACCAAAGTTTGTATCGCCTCTAAGCCCCTCGCGAACTTTTTCTATGTTTTCAATAATATATGTATTGTTATTTGTTTTCTAGATATATATTACGAAAGGGTTGTCAACATCCTTTTTGATAAAGGGCAGGCTTATACATTTCACATTTCCATCGCTAAAAGTATGATTATTGAATATTTTGACCTAGCTGGTTCTATTAAAGACATTTGTAAAAAAAAATATTAAAAAAATTGGATGGATGTGGGCGGATATGCATTTTAACTGACAAACATTTTTATGTCAACAAAAGTAGAAAAACAAAACAGAGAAACCCATTACCCCCTCTCTATTTCACTATGACATTCTAGGTAGAGCTGTAGATATCATTTTCCATCATTACAGTGTTATCAACATCATTGACCCGTCGTGATTTATCTGGCATGGCGTACATGGCTTCTACATCATCACGCTTTCCGGCGCCATTTTGGGTCACGTGGTCACGTGGGTTTTTGTCTGGTAGCGCGTACAAGCCCTCCACATCTGTCGATGCCTCCATACCGATCGGTTCCAAGCGGTTTTTCGTGGAAGTGGCGTACAGCGCGTGGAGGCTATCCTCCCCCAGCGCTGCTTTCCCGTTGCTCGAGTACACCGTCTTAGCTCCTCTGTCTGGCATAGCGTACAGCAATGACAGATCATCTGTGTCATTTGGTGGCGAGGTGTACGTCTTAGGTCGAGATGAGGTTTTAGCTGATAGGTCAGGCATGGCATAGAGAGCTGCAGGATCGTGTGTTGCTTCTTTCATGGTAGATCTCTTCTCCGGGTTCATGTATGTTAGTTTGTTATTGTCCACGGTCATGTTCTCATAGTCGCGTTCCGTCTCTGCACTCTTGTTCTCATAACAAGGATCCTCTACCTCATCGGCAGGTCTACTACGTTCTTGATTGTCGTCCTTCATTGTTGTTAATGGATGGTCAGTAGCAGGTGATCGCTTCTCCGTATTTCTATTAGAAGAGTAACGAAAAGGGGGAAATACATGTCATAAATATACGAAAGCGGATCCGGGGCACGTGGGGCAGGTGCCCCTCCCCTCCCCAAACACAACAACAAAAATTAAAGGTCTATTATTATTTTCTATTTGTTTGTTCTTGTTTTTCAAATATAGGGCACAAGGATGCCCAAAAATACATATTTCCGATTAACATGTGCATTCTGTTATTTTAGATAATTTGTAAGAACAGTATGTTCAGTTGACTTTGTTAACACTAAGCCCCACCCCTATAAATGGAAGAATTGTGTACTCCGGTGGTCATGTGACAAGGTAACGTCATGAGCAGAACAAACGCTTCCACAATTTAAGATTTTTCACATACACTATAATGTGACCTGATATTTTTGCGCTGAGCTTTAATTTACTGTGCTTTGTTCTGGTTTGTTGTGTTTGTTGTTGTTCTGAACTCATATATTAACCGAGCACTCATGCCTATAAAGTTTTTAATACAATGTGTAACTTAATCTTTTAGATAATTTTTTCACAACATTTATAATTTGGAACGGATAATCATTCATACTAGGCTTACCTGCGTCTACATGTGACGACAACAATTATTATGATGATAAGTATCAGAAGAAATGCGCCTCCTCCACCAGCACCTGCATATAATGCTGGAAGATAGAGTGGAAAATGAAATTGCAAATGCAACAAATAATTGAACCAAAAGATGACGGAAAAAATACACGAAAGAAGTATTTGGAGTGTAACGTCAGGTGCTCAATCTGTATATTTAAATTCTGAGGGTAAAAATCAAGAAGCAAGCATTCATTAAAGAGCCATATACATTTTCAAAATGCCATTCTAAAAGCTATAGAGATAAGTTGTTTATTATCTAACTTGCCTTCCCAACGGTGATCCACTCAAAATTAAAAACAAATTCTTACACACACCAAGAAGAAAGTACATACCAAAGCCGCTTTTGTCTCCTGTTTCTGGCACCAGAGTAGACATCAGAGTAGACTGTACGCCAGCAAAGGTTGAAATATCTGTCGGAACATGATAAGATGCATCCAAATGGCATTATTATTTTGTTTTATGAAAGAAGAAGAAGAAAAAATGATTCAAAATTTCTTTTGCAAATTCACTATCGGGATTAGACCCAAACTTGATCACCTTTATAACAGCAGGTGTGATATATTATGTTTATAAATGTAGAGAGAGGGTAATATTATTAATGATCCTCGTAATATAATTTTTTGTAATGAAATGCCAGACGATAGACCATTTGGCAAATTATTGACATAGACCGCAATCTGCATGCCTTGGGGGGGGGGGGATAATTACGCCATTTGAGCAAAGAATATGCAGTAATATCATTATTTCTTTGTACAGTGCGTCCCAGGAAAAAAAACGAAACCGAGAACTATCGATGTTTTATCATAACTCAATGACAATTATGATTAATAAATGACACATATTTGGAAAGCTTAGAGTCTCCACTTTCATTTGATGCAACTCATATGATGCATATTCCAGTGATTAAAAGCAATTTGAAGAGAGGAAACCAAAAAGTCATTTGGCGGGCGGTATCTGAATTTCAAGGAGAAAATCACATTTCTAGAAAGTTCAATTTCTACCCTTTTATATGACACGTCAATCAGGAAAAATGAGCCAGGAATAACAAAGTTCTGTTTCTTTAAAGTAATGCTTGCATTTCCATAATTTGATGAAACGAGTTCGTTTTCACTGGCTGCCTGCCGTAGCAAACAGAGTTGACAAAAGACTTAACTCTGTTTCGTTGACGATCAGCCATGCACAAAGAAGACGAAAGATTTAATAATTTATTAATTATAATTGTGATTAAGTTATGATAAATCATCGATAATTCTCGGTTTCGTTTTTTCTGGGACGCACTGTATAGTACTGTTCAGGCGCGTACGCAGGATTTTTTCAAGGGGGGGTTTTTAACATTTATAAATCGGGCCAAAAATTTCGCAACGACTCAGCCAGCCG